GCATTTCTCTAACAGTTTCATAATATTCTTTCCGTGTTTTGGATTTCTGGAATTCTGACTTTGATATGTTGTGGAGAGGTTCTATTTTGATTGTAGCTATTTGGGTTCTATATATACCTCACTTAACTGCATGTTAATTTTTTCTATATATTTTGCAAGTTTTTGCCATCATTTATGCAAACACATTTTTAAAATGTGATTTGTACTATCTTCTGCTTTCTTTTTACCTAATGCCAGTTAATTAGTCTTATTCGTATCTAGCAGCTGTTACATCTATTTTCATGTTATTTATTTTTTAAGACGTTTTGGAATAATTGGCTTCCAACAAGCAGCCCTATATTCTGATTTTGACATTCTGCTTTCATTTTAGTCTTTTCTACTGTCACATTTCTAATACAATTTTTAAACTGCTGAATTTATGCTTGTTTGATACCTTTTTATGGACTCAAATTGTTTACTAAAGTGGTCATTCATGTTTTGTTTAGCTCAGGTAGCTTTTTGTTAGTATCTTCCATCAATTTGGTAATTGTTTTAAATAAAATAAATAAATGAAGGGAAAAGAAAAAAATGCAAGTTAGTTATACCACTAGTGTCACTTAGTTCACTGAATAGGAAAGGTTGTGCTAATATTGATTGAAGAAATTTTTATGCCCATATTTTGTACTTGAGTGACTAAAGATAATGATGTGTAATTTATCAACAATTGTTACTTTTTTATTATTTTGTTGTGAAAATTTGTTTTACCTTTTCTTCTTAATATTAACAAATAAAGTAAAAAACATAAATGTCAAAGATATTATCTGTTTAGTTACATCTTCTTTCAGCTCACCATGCACATACTGGTCTGCTTTTTATGAACTTTGTTATCTATCCTTTTGAATAATGCTGCTGTGTTGCTTTTGATTTCCTCCCTCTTGTTATCTCTTGTTACCTTTTGAGGAGTTGGGAGTTTTTGGAAACATTTTGCTGCCTTGTCTTCTCAGGGATCTGTGTGCGTGTGCGTGTATGTGCGTGTGTGCATGTGTGCGTGCGTGCGTGCGTGTGTGTGTGGGTGTGGGTGTGGTGTGTTGATGTTTGAAGGTTGATTAGCATGGAAGACTTTGTTGCTACTATGGAAATCTCTTTAGTGTCTCCTTTTTAGTAATGTATTCCATGCACAGCTAACTATAGGCTTTTGTTTCTGTTTTAAGATCCAACTGTCTGAGGATGCTGTGTATTTGGCCCAGCACTCCGTTCTGCAGAAAGGACTACAGTATTAGTGATAAAGGGCAATCTAGGTAATAGCATACTAAGAAAATTAGTTAATAGCAACAACTCTGCTACCTTAGCAATCACAATAAAATCAGCAACAGTAATGGGTGGGAAGATGAACTGGATACTGACATATCCTTAGAACCAATAATGTACTACCTTTAACCATAGAACATATGTTTACAATAGAATATAAATATTAGTACGACCCCAAATATTAACATACAATAAATATCTACTAAGTACAATAACTGTACCACTACTAAAAACTAGAACAGTTGCAATAATAAAAAGTGTTAAATATCTAAAAATTCATGACGTTTGACTGTTATACAAGTAAAAATAAAAGGGTTGAAGAACTGGGAGTGAAGCAAGTAGAATTTGTAAAATTCTTAGGAGATGAGAAGGAAAGGAAAATAAAGGATCCTATTCAGAGTTAAAAAGAAAACAATAATATTAGATACAAGTAACAGAAAAGAACAATAAAGAAAAAGAAGAAAATATAAAAAAGCAGTGACCAAAATAAAGGAAAAAAATCAGAAACAAACAATCCAAAAAAGGAATAGGTACAAAGAAAAAGGGAAAGAGAGGGAGAGAGAAAGGAAAAAAAAAAAACAGTGAAGGAAAAAGCTGAGTTAAAAAAAAATTCCTCTGTGCTTCTGAATAAGTGGTTTGGTGATTTCTTTCCATGATCTGCAATCTTGAAATCTAGCAAATCCTGATTTTCTCCACATAGCTTTATGGCCTGTGGGTTTATGAGGTGCTGCCTCCCACTCCAGAGGCCCTTTGTTCAGCCCGCACTCTGGCAAGTATCAAAGCTGAGGTATGTACTTACCTGATATATGAGAAAAGCAAGCAGTCCCTTGATCTCTAGTATGTACCCAATGGGGCAGGAATTCAAACAGACTGCTAGACTTAATACAGCATTTTTGGATCCAGTTGCCATGTAAGGCACACCAACTGGGCCTGGTGTCTTACATGGAAGCAAGGGCAAGTGCCCTTCCCAGCCTGAGTTTAAACTTCCCAGTGTCTGTGTCTAGCCCTCACTCTCTTTGTCTCTGTGATTGTCTGTCCTGAAGTGTAATAATCTTAAACAATTAACTCATTCCCCAGATTATGACTGATTAAACACTTTGGCAATATGGCCAGCACTGCACTGGGTTTCATCTCCATCTGTAGTCTGCTGTGAGGGAGTCACTTTCATAGTATAACTCCATGCTATTTTTATAGTTTATAATAGCCATGAGCTTTTCCTGTGGCAAGCTCTGCTGATCAGCTCCATCATTTCTCCCTTGAGCTAACCAACTCTCTGGGGCTTATCTTCTCCACCAGAGTGTTGGCCTTGTCCACTATTAGGTCTGTCAGTTGGTCTGCACCTCTGCTGCTCTGTGCCAAGAGGAAACGAAGTACCAAGTGGCTTTGAAGTTGGTAGGTGGTCACAACCAGGGCAAGGAACTCATGGCTGTGGAGTTGGTGTAAGGCAGTTGTCATGTCGGGATGGGTTCTCTCTGCATGGTACATGGAAGCTGGTTCTGTCCATGAGGTACAACTTTGGATGTCATTGGAAGAGGAGTGCAAAGTTTGTCTGTAATTCTTACATTGTGTTATTTGGGACATACATTTTCTGTTTATAAACCTCAACTGCCAAAATTCAGTTGTAAAATTGGGAATGTATATTTACTGCTTTCTCCTGCAGAGAAGGTTACTACGAAAATGAAGTAAAAAGGTGCATGTAGTGTCCTCAACATAGTCAGTGAAATAGAAGTGCCCACCGTTGGAATGATGTGTATTTTTTTGTCCTTGATATGATGGCATAATTAAGTTATTTCCCAGAACCAAATTATGCAGAACCAAAGACATACTTTATTCCAAATTTTTTTCAGGGGAAGGGGTGACTAGGGACTCATGACCTCACACTTGCCAGCCAGGCGCTTATGCCACTGAGCTAAATCCCCAGCTCCTCCAAATTTCTACTACCCTAAACATTCAACACAATGAGAAATTGTCTTCCTTCTGCCTCTGTTGGAGTAGCATAACCTTGTCCTCAAGCCCAAGCCGGTCTTATCGCTATGCCTTAGGTGCCATATATGTGGCTTTAAGTTTTCCAGTAAAAGTTAAAGAAAAAACATAGATGGAGTAAATTTTAATATTTTATTTAATTTAATATGTCCAAATATCATTTATACATTTTTGAGACTCAGTCTTTGGCATGTGGTATGTAATTTCTACTGGATGTATCAATTTAGACACTAGATTTTCATTGAGTTACATAAATTATTGTTGAAAAGATAGATTCACCCCAAGCATACTTAAAGTTTTCAGTTACTGAACTCAGTGTTAGTTTTTTTTTTAATTTAAAAGGGAACTGAAATCAAAGAAAGTGAGAAATCTAGCTCCTCATTGTTCTAGCCATATTTTATGTGTCTAATTCTGTATCCAGTGGATAGTAATTGGACAAGAAAGATCAGAAGCCATCGCAGTAGTTTCTGACTTTGTCTTAATTCTCTTATTTCTGAGATAAAATACCCAACAACCACAAGTTAAAGGGACAAATGTTTATTATAGTTCACAGTGTATAGAGATGTCAATCCATAGTTGGCTGGCTGCAAGGCATTATGCAGAGAGATATGACAGATAAGAAATAATCCATGGCAGGGCAGACAGGAAGTAGCAAAAGCTACTGAGCCTCCTTTTCACTTTCTATTCCATCCAGGTTATAATCCTGTTGGTTGGTGCTAAATTCTAGAATCCTAGAATTTGGGGCCTCAAAAGATTTTTATATATATAGTCTCCCAAAAAATGTATACACATTTCAAGAAAAGCATATATAAATATTTTAATATTAAATTTATTGAGGCATCATGACAGAAATATAAGTTACCTTTGACCTCTATAATTACCAGAGGGGCTCCAAGTGGTGACCATTAGTTTCCAGACATTTATTATTTTTCTTCTCCTGAAACATGTATACATTTTTTAGCCAACTCTACATATTTGTACATGTGCACATATGTGTTTATGTACATGGGTCAGTGCAGTGCAGAAATACTTATTCTGGAATTCTTTGGTGGTGGGAGAGCGTTCCAACTTGTTTAGACACTGTCTTTATTTTGTCTTCCTAAGTTAGGAGCAAGCACTGTCGCTTACAGCCCTCTGGCATTCACAGCAAGATAGTCAAGAAATTATTAACTGAAGGCTGAGTACTGTAAGAATTCAAGGTCACCTCAAATGTCAGGGTTAGTACATTGCACACTTCTAAAGAGGTTCAGTCAAGTTGTACTCTATAGTTGTGCAAGTAGCAGCCCTGTAAAGTTCACCAGGTTAGTTTGGACTTTGTTTTGGTTTTTTTGACAAAATACTTCCCTTACATCCTTATCATTTGCTAGGAAGCAACATTATACAAGCAAATTTCTCAGATTCTTGTGGAGTTTATGTTCCCCTGGTCTTTGAGTAGCTACTGAATTTATGCTCCTTTAGCATAAATTTTAATTTTCCTTTGGTTTGAGCAGTACCTCAGAGCTTCAGCTTTGTAGAGCACCTCCAGACATGACCACACATATCAAGTATACACAGCGTGGTCACCAAATGAGCAAAGTGCCTCTTCATGGCCAGATGGTTTCTATGTTTGTGAAGTTCAGGGGAAAAGCAGCAGCAAAGCAGGAGGGAGCAAAGAAGTTCTCATAAGGAATCCTTTGTCCATTTTTCTTTTCCAAACTGATGGGTGTTTGTTTTCACTCCTGTCTACCCAGGAAACCAAGTGCTGCCTCCTGGAGCTTCTCTGGGAAGTGGGCTCACACCAGAAGCAGCAAAAGAGCTCGGCCTTCCCGTCGGCATTGCAGTGGCGGCCTCGCTCATCGATGCCCACGCAGGAGGATTAGGTAATCTCTTTCCCTTGTCAGTAGAATGTTCTTCAAAACATGCGACACTCATTATGTGACAGTAAAACTGAGACCAAGAACCATTGACTCAAGGTGTAGTAATGCAAAGCCTTTTACAGTTAGGCATTGGGTAAAATTATATAATTTTTTTTTATCAAATATAAAATTTAGGGACATGGGAGTGGGACATCGCCACTGTAGCTACCTTCTTGGGAGCGGGTAAGCAGTCTGGCGCGGCTCCAGCACACAAGAGCTGGAGGCTGGGGACCTGGGAGCGAGCTGGTGGCAGGCCAAACATCCCCCAAACCAAATAATAATAATATATAAAGATACTACTGCATTTTCATACATAATATTTCTCTACATATAATAATATAAAAAGTGATCCAAGGAAATGCCTGCTTTTTTTCTTTTGTTTCCTAAAAATTTTAAAAACATGTGCATTTCCAACTAGCATGTATGATGGCACTGTACTCATTTTTTCTAATGGTAACATAAAATTCTTATAAGTATAATAGATACTTGTTTATTTAGTGGGTACTTGGGTTTGAATACTGCGCTTCTGTGCTGAGCTACATCCTCAGCCCTTTTGAAAAATTTTACTGCAAGACAAGATCTCATTAAGTCACTGAGTTGCCTAGGCTTGGACTCAGATTTATAACTCTTCTGCCTCAGCCCCCTAGAGTTCTGGGATTGCAGGCATACACATGCCACCACAACTGGCTAGATTTAGTTTTATAGTATTTATTTTTATAGTATAGGTTTTTGTCTTATATCTAGTTAGTTGATTGTAGTCTTGATTTTTTTTCCTCCTATGTAATTCTCAAATCTGACACTATTGCATTCATTTATTCATCTTTCAAATACTAATTAAGCATTTATCGCACCCAGCCATGCTGCTAAAAGACAGTGAACCAGGAACTGGGGAGATAGCTCAGCGGCAAAGAACCTGGTTACTATTTCTGAGTTCCTGAGGTTGATCCCCAGAACTGCAAATAATTAGTGTATACCTAAAATTTCTTCCCAAAGTTTAGTAGGGAACCACACACCGTGGCAAACAATCCAGTCCCTTCCTCCCATTACAGTGTTGATTTTTCTTCTTCCTTTCTTTTTTTCCTATTCTTTTTTCATTTCTTTTTCCTCTTTTGGCTATCATGATTCTCATATATGTCACTTCTCTATAACTGTGTCTTTCCCCAGCCTTTCTAACAGTGCTTATTTTAAACTGTGGGTCATAATTCATGAAGTGAATTTAGTGAGACATAGGTATGGGATTTTCAGAGTAGACTGGGATGGAGTAGAACAGTGTACAACTCATAAAGTACAACTCACATAGTAAAGGTTAATGCTGCACAACACTTTCATTCTGTGTATAAGTGCCTATGTGTCTTGCTATGGATCAGAATCAGAAACTTTGCTGGTATGGTGTTATACATCTGTAGTCCAGCTACTCGGTAGGCTGAAGCAGGAAGATCACTTGAACCCAGAAGTTTGGCTCTAGCCTAAGCAACATAACAAGACCCCATTGCTTAAAAATAAAAACTTTGAAGGAGAACTAGTTCACATTTTATCTTCCAGCTGAGAGTTGTCTTTCCAGCACAGACACAAACTGTACCCCTGTTCATAGTTTACACCATTTGTACCTCTATGTCTTGGCATGTGTGTTCTCTGTCCTTAAAGACTTAATCCACTTTGTGCTGCTATAGCAAGATAGCTATGACCAGCCAGCTTATGAAGAACAGAGTGTTCACAGTGCTGGAGCGCGACAAATTCCAGGATAAGGGGTCCACATCTAGCCAGGGCCTTGCTGTATCATCGCACAGCAGGAGAGGAGCAAGAGAGTGCTCCTGCACACAGATGAAGGGCTGATTCATCCTGTGTGAGGAGCCTATTGCACAGACAGTGAACTCATGTCCACAGAATGAAACACTTCTTAAGGGCTCAGTCCTTCAACACTGTCACAATACATGGCCCTAGTGGGGCATATTCACACCTTAGCTGCCCTGAACTTTTCTGGCTGAATTTTTTTTCCTGTAATGTCCACGTAAATGTTCTGCCACTAAGTTTATGCCTCTCAGTTTCATGCCTCTAATTTAAAGGCCTATCAGGTGTTTTCTCTTTTACATGGCCTTCCTTAGAACACTCAGACTTATTTAGAAATCTTCTAAATTATGCTTCTTTTACCACTTTTACTTATTTGAAGAAGTGCTCACACTGTTATAATGTTTCATCTGTGTGCTTATCTTTTCTTCTTGGACAAGGAAGTTCCATTTTTCATCTTGTATCCCTCATGTTGAACCTGTGTCTTGTTTTAATAGATGCTTTCTAAGTTTATTAAATTTAATCTCATTAAGGCAAGAATAAGACCTTAGCCTTAGAGTGAAGATGAACCTGTTTCCATGAGTGGCAGATTTTAAACAGTGTCTTGTCCTACTATTGAGTGTATGGACTTGCAGAAATAGTGTGGCCCTCATCAGTCTGTGAGCACATCTGTCCTGTTCATCTCTCAGACCTCAGTCTTGTTCCTTGTGCCTGAGACAGTGAATGGCCAACACCACCCACAGGTGGTTGAGATGTAGGCAGTGTAGTTCTGGCTACAAGCAAGGGTATTCCCTTGAAGCACTTCGAAGCGTGTGCTTTTAGTGGTAGTGTCATGATTTGTGTTTTAGTATAAGCATAGAAAGAACCTGAACCCTTAAATGGATGTGTCCCTCGTGTTCCTGACATTCCAGATCACATGGGAGGCCAGGAAAGCCTTTCAGGCTTGCTTTTGAAACTGTCCCTGAAGTGACAGTCTCAGTTCACCTCCAGCCAGGTGTCAAGAACTCAGTGGGGACCACTGCATGCTGAAAGGCAGGCAGAGGGCTGCTGCCAGGGACTGTCCTGTACTATCAAAATAAATACTATAAAACTAAGTCTAGCCAGTTGTGGTGGCATGTGTATGTGTCTCTTGCTGAAATCAAGCTGTACCACACTGCTGGCCTCCTTTCTGTACTTCCCACATGCCTCTTTTCTTTGATCACCCATTTGCCTGTTTGGGGAGGTCATCTCTCCCTTCCCCATGTAGGCAGTCCTGCTCATCTATTAACATTTTCCACTATGGGAGTCCTCAAATTTAATTCTACTCAGAGAAGAATGAATCCCTCCAAACTCTGTGTTTCTGCAACACTACGTCCCTATTTCACCATCATATTGTATTCTCTTTGGTTTGCTCATCGTTCAGCATGGAACCCACCTGCTCAGTTCCTCAGTACCTCAGTGAATTCATTAATAATTAAGATAACTGCAAGAACTTTGAGCACTCAAAAATAAGGATTGCTAAATCCGAGTGAAGGAGTCTTTGAAAAATGCAGATTCCTGGGCAGACCTTGTGAAGGTTCTGTGTCCTAAAGTCCGAGTTGAGGCCTGGTGTGCAGAGGAGATGGAATAAGGGAATGACGTGGCACCAAGAATACAAGGGTCAGAAGCAGTAGTGACACACAGCTGTCAAGGAGGCAGTCTAGCCAGAGCAGAACTATGCTGTGGAGGAGCCACCCCAGATCTGGCCAGGACCTGGGGCAGGAGGCAGCTTTCTGAGAGGAGAAGGTGGGTTAGACAGGCGGAGGGTCCACAAGGGATAGAGGGAATTCGAAGTGTAGATCAAGTGGTGCTTGGCAGTCTGGAAGGAAAAAACCCTGCCAGTCCCTGAACATGTACCACAAAGATAACTCAGAGTTTCTGGGTGTGAGTTGTAAGAAGGAGAAATTTGGTAATGTGATTTCAAGTTGATTGTCTTAAGGTAAGATTTCTTTAATAAAAATTTCTTCTGTTTGGGACCTGGCAGTGATGGGCAAGGCACCCCTTCCATGGCAGAGGGGCAGAGGAGATGAGGAGAAGGGCAACTTGGCGTCCCTGTCCTCAGGTTCTGGGCTTTCTTAAAGTACATTTCTTCTCTAGGCTGTGGAGGACTGGTCGGAGTGGAGTCACTTGTCTTCTAGCCTTGGACAGAGCTAGGAGCAACCCAGGATCTTGGGCTGCTGCCAGCTCTCCTGTCTCATGCTCTTTAACTTCTACACAAAACAGTGTGTACAGCTGTTAGCCTAACGAGAAATCACAGCTTGATACACTCTTGTTTAGATAATGAGTAATTATTAGATTTCAGAATTAAAAGGTTGTGTAAAGATTTTTTCCAACAAATTCCTAGTTCACAGACAAGAAAGCTGAGACCCAGTCAGATGTTTCACCAACAAATTGAACTGAGTTCAATTTAAACTCCACACCTCCTAATTCATCAGCTGGGGCCCTGCCCACTCTGTGCAACACCACCTCTGAATCAGGAAGAGAGAATTATTGTGGGTATGTTATTCTTTTCCATACCTTAGAGCCCATTTCATGGTTATAGTGAGTATCACAGATAGCTAGTAAGTCAGCAAGTAAGCAAGTAAATAAATAAATAAATAAATAAATAAATAGTTTTCTAGGCAACCCATGAATGAGTCCCTGTTTTGTAACCACAATCAATAGTCTGCTGCAAAGAGTCTCCATAAAGCTATTATTGTCTCACTAGTGTAAGAGACTGAAAGAGTGAATAATCCAAAAGTTAAAATAGATACAGTGAAAGGGAAAGAAACTGCTCACAGGGAAATTATATTGTTTGATTAATCTTGCAAGCCGATATGTGTTAACTTGAGCAACTATTTTGAAGATAACAATATGCAATATAACAACCACAGTTAAATTCCTTCATCTTGTTTTGAAATTTTATTTTGCTTTTGGTTTTTTGTTATTGTTGTCACTTTGCTTTTATTGTTGCTTTTGGATTGTTTGCTTCTTGATTTTTCTCTTTTATATCTTTAAAATAAAAATATGCATCACAATAAATAAACACACCTAGGAATCAAGTTCCTCCAAGAGCTGAAAGCAGTTATTTTTATTTCACTTACACTTATTGAACACATACTCTTCGCCAAGTATTTTGCTAGGTACATTTGTAGTCTGTATTGTCGACTCATAACCATGCT